AGAGAGAGAGAGAAAGAGAGCGAGCCAGAGAGTTTGCCAGAAAGAACATAAAAGGTCAAGTAGATGATAAATCAAGTTAATTTTCTTTCTTTTTTAATCTAAAATTTAATCGTAGCTTAATGGCATGGGGGTCATAAACATGTCACCAATACTGCAGAGTTATAACATAATACTATAAAGTTAAAAAAAAACCTCAATCTGCATATGCTAATTACTTATAAAATAATAGAAAATAATAGAAAACCAGGGTGCTGTTGTTACATCGTTTCTATTAATTCCTTATTTTTTATTTTTCAATAAACTCCCGATTTGTGACGTCACACATTTTCTCTGCTGAGCTCGCCCTCCCTGCCTCTCTCTCTCTCTCTCTCTCTCTCTCCCTCGCGCTCCCTCACTGCACTCCGCGTGAAACAAAGTGTGGAGTCCGCGAGAGCCCGTAGGAAGCGAAAAGAGAGAAAACGGGGAGAGAGAGAAAAAAGAGAATGGGGCCGCTGAATTCATCACAACAGGAGGAATAATAACCCGCTGAAGAAATAGATAAAGAAGACTGGAGACGGAGAAAAAAGAAAAAAAAACTTTCAGGGGGGGAGAAACTGTTACAGACTCTCGCACGGCCACGGCTTTAAACATGGATACACTCTTCTCTGTATTCCTGGGACTCCTGCTTCTCTGTTCGATAGTTGGTAACGTCTCTGGCCAAATACCGACAGGTAAGAGGAAAAAGAAGAAGAAAAACACGACAGTTTGAAGTGGTTTGTGTTGTGTCGTGTGTTAGAAGAAAAAGTTTAGGCGACAATTTCTTTTTCCTCGTTGGTTTAAGCTCATAAATTCCAGACAGGTGTGTTTAGGTGTGCGAGAAAAGTTAGCCTCGGTGTTGAAAATGCACCGTATCGCCTGTTTTATCACATATGTGGGCTTTTTAAATGTCGGCGAACGTGGAAATGGTAATTTTCATGAGGTGGAGATGCCTTTTTGACATTGTTAAAATGTGAAATGCTCACTTCGTCGCACGCAAGTCGCCTGTGCGCGACGCTTTGAATGCAGCCCATTTAAAGCCTTGTTTGCGCTCTCTTATATGAACAAGTAATCTCACTCATAACCTGGATCGCCAACTCTTATCTTAAATGCCTAAAACTTAAGTTGCTGCATTTCTGCTTGGCTCTTCGCATCGCAGGTCTTCAGACCCGAGAGTTACTATGCCTCTGATTTACGAATAAAAGGAAGCATTGCATACATTTGCAGTTATGAGCAAGTAGGATTAAAGTGGAAAGATTTCACATTTTTTGCGCTGAGCATCGTTTATTCCTGTAGATTTCAAGCAGAGCCGAGCTTGGCCGTGAAGCAGTGCAGTCTCGCAGCGCATGAATGGAGAAAAAAAGTTCCTGTGTGCCCGGACACCACTGTATAATAATATTTATGTAGCAAGACAGCGTTGATTTGTACAACCTTTATTAAAAGCCTGGTGCACTTTGCTGTTTTTCCATCTCGTGACACGCTAATGTGTCACCTTAATTGCATGATGGATTGGTTTGTTTTGATCTTTATCGTCCTTAAATGCTTGCGAGCTTTTTATTTAATATCACCCTGCGCTCTGTGATGTGTTAAAAGTACTTTCTAAAGGAGCGTTGCTCTTTTGTTCCAGCCAGCGGACAGTTGGGTTTGCGAGCGCCACGAGCTGCTGGCGCTTTGCAAACCAAATGAGCCGCTTCATCTCCAACTTTATTCTCGCTGCATGCAATCAAACCTAATGGTTGGGAATACAGTCTGCACGTCGATCGCATGTTGATAAAGAGGGATATTGCTTTTTGGCATTGCGTGAGTGAAGAGATCAGACTGAGATACTTTTTCGGTAACTGGTTTCTGGTTACCACATTCATCAAGTTACGCGTGATTTTTGCGAATTGCCCGAAACTTCCCATCAAAACGGTCACGCGCAGAGTGCGATACTTTAAACCTCGTTTTGCGGGGGATGCGTTGGAAGACCACCTCTCTGCTTGACTTCGGGACTTGAGTTTAAACAGTAATCCGCAGCGCAGTGAGCCTTTGAAGCTCTTTTGTCCGTCTCGCCTGCAGAAACTCGTATGCACAGGAAAAACGCTGCAACAGTGCTGCTCGCCACGTTTGGGACGATGCTTTTGCAAGTCGCCTAAATGAACTCGCGGAAGTTATCCGCTGTTACAAAACAAACAAACGACTCCTCGAGCTCCGAGAAACCAAACTCCTTACGTTCTCATTGTAATCGCTCGATCTCGTACCTGTTTGCGTTTTATTTCCGCATTCAGCCGTTGCTCCACTCTCATCTCCGACGCGCAGAGAGGCAGGAGAGGCTCACACAGCTGTTTGAAAGCTGACCTCCAAAATCACAACCATACATTAAAGTTACAGCAAAGAACACATCACGCGCCACACATAAAATCATAATTTTACGCTCCAGTGTTCACAATAGCCCTGTTAATGATTTGCATTAATATTACACATTAATTCCAGCTTCATCTGGGGAGGTTTTATTGCCTCCACCCCTCCTCTTTCCCACCCTATACCCGCCCCCCATACCCCCCCATTGTCATTTGGTCCTCTGGGTAACAAATGTGTGGAATTTCTCTGAGGCCTCTTTGGGAATTTAAGTGCTGTTAATTTGCAAGTAAATACTAGTGACTGGATGCCGCTTCACAGAGACGTGGGCTATCATTAGCGTGGAAAAGGGGATCGGAAGGAGAACTTTGGCTTTGTTGTAGAAAAAGAGCCACATATTTAGTGATAAAAGCATGCAAATGTGAGAATAATTGTAGCAAATCAGTACAGGGAAAATTAACAGGCACACTTTTTACTAAACATTCATATGTCTCCATGTATTTTCTGTACCAGCTAACCATACAAAAAATTTAGGTAACATTTAAGTTAACACTGTTCAGCTTGTGTAAACTTATCACTGGCAGCATTTTTATGCACCGGTTTAATAAAATCTCCAGCCAGTGATGCAGATAAGGTTTGCAGGCTGATAACTAATACAGCCATTATGACTTGGCACTGAGAAAAAGCAATAATTATAAGACCAAAAGTTAGTAATGAAGGAAATGTGTGTTTGGGTGCTACACTCATATCACTGACAAGGACAAGAAATATTTGTGGCAAGGCTTTAAAACCATCCATTAAGCACTAAAGAAGTCATTTTCAGTCCGCGCTGAGATGCATTCTCACTAAATTTGTCTCCTTTCAGTTTTTTAATCTATTCTAGTTTCCCAATTAGAAAGTCAAACTGCAAGTTAAAGCATTTCTCTAAATCTGCCTGTCTCTTGCCTCTTCTTATCACTTTTTATACACAGTTTTGTTTTGGCTAATCACTTACAAAGTCAGTGTAATAAATCTGAACAAGCTGTCTTTACAAAGTCAGTACCCGAGTTTATGTTAATTTTACAACTTTCTAAATCTGTCTCCTCTCTGATCGAGTTGTGACACAGATTTTAGGCGTCTTTAATCTTAATGAAGTGAAATAATTGTTTTCCATCACTGTCTCCAGACGAATTAAAAGGCTGCCAGTGCCACTGAACACAGCATCTGAGCTGGTTTAATTAGAATTGTAAATTATTTTAGTATTTCGAACATTAGAACCAAGTTAGTTTAATTATAATTACTTTTCCGCCCCATTTAGGAGATGAAATAAAATTGTGTGTTTTAATAGAGAAAGGCGAAAGAAATGGAAGGACAGTGAGAAAGAGAAGAGGAGGGGGACAAATAAGAAACCATTGGTTTTTGGCCGTGGGCATCTCCTCCACTCAAGAGACTGTGAAAATGGCAGAAGGGAGTGTGTGTGTGTGTGTGTGTGTATGCGTGTGAATCACTGTGTGTGTCTGTTATGTCTCGTGTATGTGTGTGGTGCAAACGTGTGTGTCAATTCATGTGTTTTGCTGTCGCTTACAGAGAAGGAGGGAGGCCGATGCTTTTAAGCCCTCCGGAGTACAGTGGTACAAAAGACGAGCATCTGAAATGTTTGCTTCTCATTTCGATTCATGTGAAAATGCCTCCTCATTCTACTCATGCCATGTAAAATGGCGCCAAATCAAAGGCTTTTTTATTTATTTCTCGTTAAAAGTAATGCCTCAGTCTGCAGTCCTTCAGATCCATCTTAATGTCTTCTCCACAAATGAAACGTCCCTTTGCTTAGAGCCAATCTGTTTCTACGGATTTCAATTTAGTGATAGATTTTACAAAATCCATTGCTTTGAAAGTGGCTGGCTCATTTCTTCAGCTGTTTGGGGAGGAAGTCTGTAAAATGTAATTAATCTGCTGAGAGAATTCATTAGCTAATCCCTCATTAGACTGTGTGCGTGTGTGTGTGTGTGCGTGAGCATAAATGAGTTTGAGGGTTAAGTGTGTACAGTGGGTGAAAGTTTTGGGCACTTTTGCAAAATAAAATATAAAGAAATTCTTGTTTACATGAGTTTATGCAGACGTATTCAAGAGGATGTGACAGCGTGCAAAATAAACAGAGCGCTATTTGCACTGATAAATCGTGGCAGGTTTCTTTACTTTGAAATGACTCTCACTGAAGCTCCCTTTCTGCTTTGGAAAGGTACGTTGTTTTGATGTAAAAATTTGTTCTTCGTCAAGAACTGAAGTTTCACAAAATGCTGTACTTTACCTAAAACAAGTTGAAAATGTAACTGTACAGTTTAACAGTTTAACACAACTATTATTACACAGGCAGAATCAAAATATATGAACAAAGTTGTTTTTTCCTTTTTTAATGCTCTGTATGTGGAAGTGCGGGAAATGTTTGTGTGTTTTGCACACTGATTGACTCATTGCTTCCCAAAAGAGGATGGCATTTGATTTCTTGTTTTGTTTTGTTTTTTTAATGAGTATATTTTTCTTCTCTGATCCACTGTGACCAAAGGGGTATATAAACAGAGAGAGACTAGCAGCAAAGCAGCAACCGGAGACCATAAAATGCCAAAGAAATTCTGCAGCTTGTAGTGATGATGCCATAATGTCAAAGTGATATAACTGCAAAGAGGGTGGATACTGAGTTAGACTTTGCTCAACTTAAAACACGAAGAAGTGACTTTAAAAGGAAAGTTTGTATTTTTTGAAAATACAAACTTTTGACTGCAGTCGTGGGCTATATCAGTTATTATCTGTGGTGTTCATAATGCAATAATAAGCAGATGAAAATAGAGACTGGTTACTGATTAGTGTCACTAACTTTCTACACTTCTTACCCATTTTTAGAACTTCATAACGCAAAACCTCCACAACTATGTCTGTTTAAGATGACAAATATAATCCCACACAATAATTTGTGACATAAACAGTTTGTATTGGCAAAAACTGTATATTTACATTGTATTGTATTGTATGACATGCTGGTCAGGTAGCATATCCTTGGATATGTTGCCAGTCTACTTTCCATTAACAGCTACTCAGCTGCTCAAGTTGATTTGACTTGACTCCGTTTCCGTCGTTTTCCATTACATTTGAGTAGCACCTCAATGAGGGAGGTGTTTTTATAGCAACGTGAACCAAAAGTTCAGGACATTGAGACGATGGTACTCCTGCTGCTAAACCGATGGTAAATGTCTGCACTTTGTCATTCAACCACGGCGGTGGTTTATAGCGATTTCCCTTGTTGCTGGGTCTCAAAAATGGCAGGTTTCTTGTAAAGGACTCCGCCTCGTGAGTCATCCAGCCACTCCGTGGCCAATCAGTGGCATGCAGTCTGTTGACGTCACTTTTTTGGCTTGATGTTTTTGGCATCAGGTACTACCACATAAAGGAAAACTCTGAAAACTGAGTTAAGTCGAGCTGAGCTGAGTAGGTACTACTGAAAAAGAGACTATAGAAAAGACAACCATTCATGATCACATTCACGCCACGGCCAATTTAGAATTGCCAATTCACCTAACACACGTGTTTTGGGGCTGTTGGAGTAAACTGGAGTACTCAGAGAAGAACCTACAGTAGATTAAATAATGTCATAAAGAGGATTGAGTCTTAAATACTGGGTCGTGATGGGTTTAAATCACCAATCAAGCAAAGAAAGCGAACCAAGAAAGTGATAGCGCTCCACTGGAAACCAAGACAGGCAGCACATTCAACACACATCCCAAATCCCTGAAACATCACATCCCTGATGAATGATGATGCTAGTCCAGTATCATCAATCTCTGCTCTGCCCTGTTTGGCTCTGGTCACAGCTGTTGGTACAAGGGGGCCTTGAAAAATGCTGCTGCCTGACACACACATACACACACACACACACACACAGACACACACTCACACACACATTCACTCACCCTTATACACATGGCTGGCTAATGACAGATTAAGTAATCAACACTCACAGCTGATTAATTACATTACAGTGCATGCACAAGCACACACCCTTTGCCTCACACTCACACAACCAGATGAGCAGCCTCAGCACCAGTTGTGCATTTTAGTGTGTAGTGATAATGATATATGCAACAAAGATATGACTTGTGTGTGCATGTACATAAAGGAGTGAGAGATTGGTGCAAGTGGTAGCAGGTGAAGACAGTCTTGACTTTTGGAGTTCATGGGGATTAGTTGAATAAGAGGGTGAAGGCAGAGGTTGGGTGTGTTTTGGATAAAGTTTAAAGTTTGTGTGAACTTGTGTTAGTTCAGACTTGTTCTTTCCTTTGCATTTTTTAAACAGATTGCATTCAACTGTGTTATTAAGGTTACAAATCATTGTTGGAGTGTAGCTGCTTATATATGATTCCCGAAAGCATTGATTTTGTTGCTGCTGCTGTTGAACAGGGTGGATGCAAAGCTGAAGAAAGTCATGGGGCAATATTGGATTACTTCACTCTTGCTTTTCTTGAATATATATATTTTGTTTAGTTAGATAAAAGCAGAAGTTTATCCAGAATAGACCAGAAAAGCGCGTAAAGTGAGAAAATTGCTGTCAGAACAACATGTAATGAAAATCTCTTTTGTGTTTGTGAACCTGTGCATGCTTTCCAACCTAATTCTGTGCTGTTATTCTCTGCTTTGCTTCTATTGGATCCAGCTCACATGGGGCGCGCTGAGAAGGGTGAGTTACGAGTCGCCAGCCGAGCTTCATCTTTCATGGTTTTAATGTTGTCGTAACTCCCCCATAGCTCCACCTTAACGCAGGGTTCCCTTTTCATTGTGTAGACATTAGTTGTAGTGATGTTGCTTTGTTTTGTCATCCATTGTCATCCCATCTTTTAGCTACATTACTAATCATCCCATTTACTAATCATGGGCTAAGTGCTTGTCAATTATTTTAGCGTATTTAATCAAACTCACCTTGACATGGCAGTAGAGCTTTCTTTGGGTTTTTATTTTCCTGACCTTGATAAGCCAGCATTAAAGTACTGTAGTAGTATTTGGACCTTCCTCAGTATGAACATGTTTGAAGAACTCTGAACCGTTTGATTCAATGTCAGATAGTTTCAATGTTTCATAAACCTTCAGCTCATGTCTAGTGTTATTTTGCTTGTTAAAAAATTTCTACAGTGACAATCCTGAATCGATTAAATATTTGAAGCACTCTTGTACTGGTATGCTGTCACCCGTCTTTGTGACTCTGCCAACCTGGTTGTCAGTTAATCTATGTGCCATTTGTCTCTGTGTCTCTCTTCCTGTGCTTGTCTGTCTGTGTAGCTAGACAGCTGTCGGGAGGTTTGAAGTTTCCAGGTGCTATTTGTTTAGTTGAGCCTGCTTTTTAATAAAAGAGCTCTGAGTAACTTTGTTCCTTCAGTAGCTAAACACACCCTTCTCTTCTCTTCTCTTCTCTTCTCTTCTCTTCTCTTCTCTTCTCTTCTCTTCTTAATAAGGGAGTTGTCCTTTGGTTGTGAAGGTTACAAGTTTGTAAGATATGCTACACACTCTTCACACTGCAGATAGATAGATAGATCATTTTGTAGAGTGCCACTTTAATCGATCCCTGAAAACTAACGTAGGAATGCTATGTTCCAATGCAGACGTTATTCAGTATAAAAATAATAGAGACCAATCGGATGCCCAGTGGGGTAGAAATACTGTCAAATCATATTAAGGAGTACAAGTTTTTTAAAATGGTTTTGGCAGATTCTACATCTACTCTGGCAGAATTTTGTAGATTTCACTGAACTTAGGCCCCAAGTGAAGAATATTTGTTATAACGGATTAGTAAACTGCTGGTTTATTGGAGGTGAGGAAATGGTTGTGTTGTCATAATAGTGTTAGCATTTAACATTTACGATATACTGTTTAATACTTGAATGTTGCTGAAATGGGAGCTTTACTGACCTCTCCTCTCAGGTGTCAGATGCTTTGCCAAGTTTTGATGTGCTGCTGTTCAGGTGTGCCTGTATGTTGCTGTGTGAGGGGAAGATAACATTGTTGGTATCGATACTTTTGCAAACAAGTGTCTAATCAATTGTAATTTTAGTATCAGACCCTTTTCAGGTTCCTCACTCGATTGTGCAAACATTAAATAAATACAATTTTTGGCACAAATAACAGAGAGTCTTGATTGTGAGACATGATGCTTTGTATTTGTTTTCACTTTTCAGGAATTTATTTATCCTCTAGCAACAAAACTGATTACATTAGAAATTAAATGCTCTTTTCTAATGTAATCTTTATTGTTGCTCACTTTAAACTTCCTGGCAACATGAAGGCAAAGTCTGCAGGCCTTAGGCTCAGATCATAGTTGTGCTCTGTTATTATATTGTATTATATATTATATTATATTGTTAATGGTAGTAATAATTCAAAGTCAGAGTCCTTTGTAATGAAATGCATATAGTAACATATTCAAGCTTGTCATGGTTTCGTTTTTTGCTTTTCAGGGTCACTCCTGTATGAAGCACCTTTTCCCATTTCCCAAGAAGACTCATTTAAATTTTGGAGGTGGTTTTTGGCAAGGCAAGGGTCTTTAAAGAAAGGGTTGTTCATTAACTAACTCTTAATTATAAGTATATAGGTGGCACTGAAGTACAGTTATAAGGTTACAAACTGATTATGGCATGTTTCACTTTGGGGTGGAAACTTTACAGCAAATCTCCACTGTTCCTCTTGTCACAGTGACCAGTTCCCGCCTTTCATGTTCAGTAAATGTTTAATGATCCAGTCAACCCACTGAGTCTGGGATTTCCCGATGACTCTCGGTTAAAGTGTAACCCATGGTCTTAATCTGGCACATTTTAAGTTCTCAACCTCTCTTACTTCTTAGTGTTAGTTTATACAACAGTTAGTTATCTTCCCTAAAAAATGTAAAGTAGTTTTGTTATCTTTTATGCTTTATAAGAAAAACTTAAGCTATGTAAACAAAGTATATTTAATGAGACAGACTTTGCTTAAGGCTGCAGTTAACCTGTACTTTGAGTAGATGTGACAGCCCAACTTTGTGTGTGTTATGCATGATTATGCCAACCTTCAGGTGGATGGGATAGCCAAAGGGCTCCTGTGTGTATGTGCCTGTGTAGCTCTGGGGCCTGGCAGAAGTGGTTTCTATTATTCCAGTTATGAAGACATCTGTCATGAATGCACACACAGGAACACACAAATGCACACAAAAGTAGTCATAAGCCGTCAATGTGCAATATTCCATGTAAAGGCTTATTGCTTATCTGTGTGTATTATCTCTAGGTAAAATCCTACGGGATACTCTGCTACAATCATTTTAACAATATGTCCTAAAATTATAGAGACATGTTTTCACTGTCCTCAAATTCATTTCCAATAATTCTCCTCCCTTCTGTAAGCTGATTTCAAATCAGAAGTTGGAGAAGGCTTTTGAGATATTTAAACCTTCCCTTACATGTTTGTGTGTGAATCAATGGCTTACAGATAGACGACCAGTCCATTAAGATTATCATCTCCATCCCTGACCATGTATCTTCACATCCCCACACTGCCGCTCCTCTGTGTGAACAGAGATTTCAATCTTCCGGGAGATATTCCCGAGCTATCTTTTCCCTCCAAATAGTGGTACACAATGTTTTTTTTCCCCTGTCAATTCTGTCTGTCTGCCACTCTAATCTGACGTTTAGTCTGTCTGTCTGCCTGCCAGCCTGTGTGTGTCTCTCCTTACTGCAGATGACTGTAGACACATGGTCAGCGTGACAGTGACTGCGTATACACATCATACAGTCAATCATGCTAACAGACAGACTGTGTGTGGGAGTCTGAAGACAGACATTTAAATGTTGAACATCTGTCTGTCTGTCAGTTTTCTAGCTGGGTTGTGTTAGCCTTGTTTTTCAAAATATCGCCTGTGATAAAGTGATATGCTAATATTTACTCTTTACATATTTTACATACACCCGTTATCATTACTCTTTAAAGGAAATGATTCTAAAACTACTGTATAAAACTTCATTTGTATAAGGAAAATCAAGCTCTGCAATTAAGTGGGCGATAAGTAGGTGTCTCCCAACCCTTTAATGTCTGCAGTCATAATGCTTTTGCTATCTTGTTTAGAAAGATATTCTGCAGAAATCTGAGCCCAAGGGCAGACAAATTAAATTAAATAGAAATGATGAAACATTTAATTACCGGTAAGCAATGAATAAATATCAAATGAAATGACAGAAAAATTGATTACGTTGTGGTTGTTTAAGCTTTTTAACAAGCTAAAATGACCAATTTTTACCATCTTAAAAGTGAGGGTTTGCTGATTTCTTTGCTTTGTAAATTGAATGTCTTTGGATTTTGCGAATGTTAGTTGCACTGCAAAGATGTTGCCTAGTGATGGACATGTTTTTCCTAGCTTCTGACATGTAATACAGTAAATCTGTGGCTTTCATACCTTTTCACAACCCTGCTCTTCCATCAGACATGTCACATTTTGAAAGGACTTTTCATGAAGAGGGTGTATAAATATAGCAAGCGAAACCAATGTACTCATGGGTGCAGACTGGGTATCACTTGATGGATATCAGAATCAAAAAACCAATCAATACATTCCCATCTCTAAAGATTTGAATTTCGGAACCTTTGTACCGTAATATACTTTTATAGTTGCCAGATTGCTCATGTTTCTGCCACTTGTTGCTGTGGCAGTGAGCATTGTCAGCACTGACTCTAGTAAAGTGTAACCACACTTTCGAATGTTTAATTCTCTCCACCATTGACACTAATAGCAGTATCTTCTGCACTGTTCTTCAGCATATCAAAGAGAAAGCTGACCCTGCCTAATGCAGCCTCTATTGCGAAGAGCAGAACTGAAATGTTGGAGCTTTTCTGTACTTTGGTCTTTCACAATTTAGCACCGGGTTCTGTTACAGTACCCATAAAATCAACCATAATGAAGGCACACTAAACTGTGCTCTTCACAAAAATCTTCTATGAGCAATTACAATTTAAATGCATACTTTTCAGGGATTAGAATCTGTAAACATAGCACTGTATTAGTGTCGTATATCAAAATTAAGCTATGCAGCATCTCCAACAGCTATAACTGAGAGGAGCCAGGGCTGCCTGCTGAGTTTCAACCTCCTAAAGGCCAACCTTTTGAGATTTATATGTATGCATTCATGAAACTAAACAATAGTTTTTCCACGGTTTCCATATATTGCAGGCTTAAAACATCCATTGAGACCGTTACTCCCCCAGGCATTTGTTAGTGTTTGAGCACAAGTGAGCAGCGCCGATTCATCTGTGGCAACCTCTGATCATGAGTTCTGCTGATTCGATTACAGAACTTTACCTCTCAGAACAAATAATGTGGCCTTTCGCTGGAAGAGATAAAAAAGAAAAGGTAGTGCAGTGAAATTCCCAACGGACAGCTTCAGAGCAACACAAAATGAAGAGCTCCAAAATAGGACATGCAAGGTTTTCATTGGGAGGATGCCCTGAAATTCTTATTTAAGCTGATGTTCCCTCACATACACATATACGCACTCCGCTGCGATGCGGATACTATGCAGACTCCACCGTGTCTGGTGAAGTCAGAACAAACTCAGTCAGTTTAGTCAAACAAGCTCTCTCGCCTGTTCTCACGGAGCATTTCCAAGTAAGCCTCTATCCGTAAACTCTATCCTAAAGCTTCATTTACCTCCCTACCCCCTTTGGAATTTA